ATGCAATAGATTGGGAAGCAGATTATCACTTACCCACTCCCATTTAAACTCAGGTGACAGACTATTCTTTCCATAAATATGTTGATTTTTTTTTATACAAACAACAAAAGATGGAATATGGAATGAAATAAGGAGGAGGATGTGGAACTGAATGTTCTTTTTATCACCAGCTAATTCACCTTTTAAAACCTATGTACCACCTACAGTGGCTCTGAAGATGGACTTAAACCATCATGATGCCTGTCTCATATTTTCCCTGTTTGAATGTATTTATATTTAATCAGGATATTGTGTATTTTTCCAGATACTACTTTGCCTGCAGCTATAGCAGCTGCCTTTTAGAAGAGTCTTTTAAATTGTAATTAAATAAAATAAATAGAAACAGAAAAAGTGCGGAAGCTGTTCATTGAGGATAAGAGCATTCAGAACACAAGAGGTGCTATTTTTCTGTGTTGACCTCTAATAATTTGCATAAACCACCTGCCTTAGTTTATCCAACTGTTAAATTGTTATACGTGCATATTTTTCCCTCCAAGGGTTGTGGACAGAACTCATTAATGTCTCATAAACACTTTCAAATGCTTTTATAAGATCATCCTATTCATAGTGGGTCACACTAATGAGATCTACTAATAAAAGGTAAAAAACAAGTATTATTATATTATTCACTCACAAATATTTTGACAGAGGATAACAACCATGAGAATTGTATCATAATTTTTAATTAAAGCATTATTTCTAATTAAAACAGCATTAATTCTACAGCAATAATATTAATTTTTCCATTGATGAACCAGTCAAAATTCTGACACTGACAGAGATTCTGCAATTAAATTCTTTATAACACATCACAGCTCTGACTCTGATTTTTATCTCTCTCTGTACATAATAATTTGATGATTTCTGAGAGAACAGCCGTTTTCTTCCCTCCTCACCCTCAGCTGAGAAGATTATTGCCCATCTCCAGTGACTCCTGAAATGGGCCAGGTGTATGTGCATGAGAAAGGTGTTGACCAGAAGCATTTAGCATGAGGCCCTGTTCTCATGTCCCCTGGCATCTCTGGGTGGCTGGGCTGGGACTGGGGCAGTGTGGGACACCAGGCAGCCCTGTGCCTCTAGTGAAGGTGTGAGGGCAGGGTGCAGCAGGGCAGGTGTGCTAAGGTGCACAATACCTCCCTCACAAGGCAATGGAAAGCCAGTATAATTACTGATGCACAGGCACAAACAGGACCTTGAGTTTGTTCACTTCTGAATCAGGGAGATGTAAAAGTTTTGCTACATTACTTAAGTTTTCCAAAGAACTATCTGCATTTTCAAAAGTAAGGTCTCTTCCAAGCAGATTCAAATACTTTTTCCCAGGATACCCTCAACTTTTCTTGAAAATGATCCCTGAGGGTAGTGCTTAGTGCCTTGTGAAGGATGCTTAGTTCTCCAAATCTGGGCATGAGGTACAGACTCAATATGCTTAGATAAAGTTTAAACCTGCTCTAGCCAAAGTCAGTGGAATTATGGCAACCAGGATTTCATAAATACATGAAAAAATATCATTATATACTGTCTTCCAGGTCTTTTTATTCTTTTTTCAGTCCTAGGACAGCCTAATAGATGTTAGCTTTGTTTACACAAGATTCCCCAGAGAAGTGCCTTCTGGAGGGAGGGATCTGTGCAGATTTCCTCTCTCCTACAGCCTGCTACAAAGCAGGCTAGAAAAAAGAAGTCCTGCTCTGTAGGAATTCATATATTCTTAGTTGACTGATCCTAGTGAAACATTTGAGAACGCATGTTACATGAGGCAGAAAAGCTGAAATGATAACACTGAATTGTTTCAACATTGTAGAAATCAATTTGCAACAAGATTTTTAATTTACAAGTCCAATGAAATTAAAAAGTGGCTGCTGAATATTTTTGATTTATCTGAAACTCTGCTTCCAGTTGAAAAAATACAATAGCAATTGGAATACTGAATCCTGCTGGTGATTTGTGAGGCTATTTAATTTTGAACCACTCTTTTTAAAAATACCTTTTTTAAGGAGGCTTTTTTGGTTGCAGGTAGTGCATGCAGCAGTGCAGGAGGAAAGTTCAGCCTGGGTGCATGGCATTGTCCTCCAGGCAGGATGCCTAGGAAAGACAGTCCGCAAATGCAAGCACCTGATTTAGATGCTCCAAGGGTCCTCTTTATATGTAAATAAAACACTTCAGCATGGATCTTCCTTAACTTCACATAGTCAGGTTTTTGCACTAGGAAGGAGATGATCAGCAAGGTAGCAGAAGATACTGTGTGGCAGAAAGAATACTGTGATTCCCCAGTGATGTTTCCTTCATCAATTGCTTGGAAAAAAATTTTGGCTCTTTACAAAGGCAAACAGGCCCAGATTTATACCATATACCATATACCTGTACATACAGGTGTATGTAAGCCACATACTTGAAAGACAAAAAATAAGCTTTAATTGTAGATGCTTGATATGCCCTGGAAAGGAGCAGATAAAGTGTTACCCATCCAGAATGAAGACTGAAGAATTTTCCAGGAGTCCACACATGAAGAACTGCTGAAAATCTATAGTATATCTAACAATGTACAAATCTGTTACCTGTTAACCTGAAACAGCTTTTAAGAGCTCTGAAGGTAATAAGTAACATGGATTTTGCTGCTTTATGAAAAGTATTGAGGTCCTGAGGAGGCCTTTTAGTTTGCTAATGACCTACTGAATATTATGAAATTTAAAAATGTGGGTCAGATCTGGCCTAAAACCTTTTTTTTTTTTTTCTGGCAAGATTGAAGGCTGTGAATTTCTACTACAATGACCAGAAGAAGGTAACTGAACGTAAGGGAGATCCAGACACTTACAGACCGTGGAACATTAAAGATCAACCAACCTACTCTTTCCCAGTCAGCTATGGGGATACAGCTAGTAAGTAACTCACAGAGTGGACCTTCCTTTAGAAACTTCTCTTTCTCTTATCTCTAAAATACATTAGGCTTTCCCCATCTATATGGATGACTTTCTGGATATTTGACTTTTAATGAAACACAGAGGCAAAATGTTCTTTTGCAAGTCTTATGGACACAGAAAGATGCATTTCTTGCAAGCTTTTAATTTTGCCCAACACTTTTTGAAGGCCTGCCAATTGTATCAACAGCAAAACAACACTGCATTGTGTTTAACAGAAAGTAAAAATATGATGTGCCTGTCCCAAAAACTATGATCACGTTGTTGATCCTTGTAATACAGCCATGGTACAATTGCAATGAAATGTACTCTGGCTACAGGAGGTCCACGGTTCTCACTGACACCAAGAGGTGGAAGTACCCTTGAGAGTATGCAGTGATCCAGGTGCAGGAAAATCTCTATCAGAGCAACTGAACCCTGCTCTACTGAAGAGATGGAATGAGACAGTGAAGGGTCTCGACTTTGCCCATGGCACCCACGGAGTCTGAGTGCTCCCCGGTGAGCTGGAAGCTGCTGACCTGGCAAAGCACTGTCAACCGAAAGTGACAGCCGCTCCTGTCACATCTCATCTTTGTAGCTCAAGGACCAAAAGTAAAAAGCTCACTCTACAGAAGATCTGGAAAAGATGTCTTCTGAGTGTCTAACAGAGCCTGGCCACTTCGTTGCTATTCTCTTCATACACCACAGGGGATACTAATAACAGCTCTATGTCACTGAGACAAGAATTTGGGACTCACTTTTTACCTGTAAGGTTTTGATTTTATTCGACACACTGTACTCTTTTAACAACCAGAATAGCATCAGTGGGTTTAGCTGTGTGGAGGAACGCAGAACTGTGCAGCTTCCAGCATCACCCACTGCAATTGTACACTGCTGGCTACGCTTCTGAGCAGCCATCTGAACTGCAGACTGAACCAGCAGGCACACCTGGCTGTGCTAGAGGAGGTTTACCATAGGTCTATATCCACTCATTCCCTCTTCAACATCCACATATTAAGTTCTTCTCTGATGATTATGTCTTTGTAGCATAAGCCGTGTTTTTGCTTAGTTGAGAAGAGTCATTACACACCTGATGATTTGGAAGCTCCACTGTAACACTTCTAAACCCTACTACTAACAAAAGAGTAAACCCAGCACAGAACTACTTACTATGTCACTTTTTGCTGCCAGTGAGTCTAAAATAAATCCCATCTGAAGCCTACAGACATAGCTTTGGACTGAAGATTGGCTTTAAAATTTATTGAAAAAATATATAAGAAGACGTTAAAACTGACATCTAGCCTTGTGTGAGAATATTAATGCTAATTCACACACACTTAGAAATGTGTGCATTGAGTGTACAGTGTTTGCACTGAACAGACCTCTGGTTGTGTAACTGAATTAAATGAATAAAAATAAAAAGTGTTTTCCTTCTGTGGCACCCATTTTGCAAATCTTTTTAGAATCATCGGGCTCTTAAAGCCCCTGTAGAATCTCCATCCAGTCTTCAGGGCCACAGATTGCTGGTGTCCCAAGTAGACCTCTTACAGACAACATCACTGAAAAGCCTCTATGCACAATCCCATCCTGGAAACTACAATTTGCATTGAACTGCTTCAGGATATTGCAGAACATCTTATACCTTGGGAAGGTGAGGACAATATGAGCAAAAGAGCTGGTTGCAGGCTGCAGGCTGCATCATGAATCAGTGCTGATGACAACTATTTGTCAAATGTGTTTTACATTTAACAGCAAACAACTTCCAAAACTCTCTGTTGACAGCTCACTGATCTGAATTTATTTAGCTAAATGTTTCCTACGATTTCTTTCAACATGAGAATCATGGCCTTTTGTGCAGTTCTTATCAAGAGAATCAGGCTCTTGTTTCTCCCCAGCAGACTGAGCTCTCTACTGTGTTAATTGGCAGATCAGTCCATTACCTCATATTAATACCCTCAAAGTCCAGGCAACAAGGTTACCTAAATCCAGTACCAAATGGCAATGCTAACAATTTAACAATCTAGTTACAAGCAGTAAGTTACAAAAGAAGTCACGTTGTCTCTGCCTTACCTTAGTTTTCCCCTTAATGGTCTCATTAGTTTTTGTAGTTGGGCACAGCAGTTAATGGCCTCAGCAATAAATCCGGCAAAGTGAGGTTTTAAATCTTCAAGGTAGATCTGTGCTACTGGTTTGTCTTGTTATTTTCCATGTTGACCTTTGCTACCTTTATTTAGGTCATTCTCCCTTAACTTTAACTGTTTCAGAGTCTAACAAGTGATATCTAACTCTGAAATATTAAATTTAGACCACGTATATGCCAAATCAGTGAGTGCTCTAGGCTCTACAAAGTGATGTATCAGGACCTTCCAGGACTACTGTAGCTTAAAATCGGAAGCCTTTAAAAATAGTGATAGTAAAAACACAGTTCCTTTTTATTTGTCTCTTGCACTTCTGAACTTTATTATTCAGGTTTTCCCATCAGTCCTATGAGGGCTAGAGAGCTCCTTTTAAAAAAAATTACACTACCACAAAACCAACAGCTTTTATTTAATCATATGACTTGAGAACCTGGGAGCTTAAGGAAGAACAACAAAGAAAACAATAATCACAATTAGAGCTGAAGGCTGGTAGCAATGTGCCTGACACAAAGATCCTTCATCATGACTTCAGGATCAGTGTACCACGATATTAACCAGATTAGTGATAAAGATCATTGCATTCTGTGTTTCCTTTCTCTTGACAGCTTTCATGTCTGATTCTCTATGGTGCTTATTGAGTCCAGGGATATTTCGCTAGTGTACGACTATAGTAAAATAGCCATGAATTACACCCTCAAAGTGCTCTTTACTGTAGCCACTAACACTTTATAGTGTTGTCTAGAAATCCAAAAGAATGATTTAGTCAAACCATGGCTTTTATTTCATTTTTATTAAACCTGGCTCTCTGCCTAAACTCTCAGCATTTTGAACAGTGAATATATTGCTTTGTCCGTAACATTTGTAACCTTTATTGATCCACTCAGGTAAAAGCACCAAGTAAAAGTCCTTTATTATTGATGTGGAAAATATTACTTCTCCACTGCTTTTTGATCCACAAACATCTGTCACTTTTCCTTTATAAATCCCTTTAAGTCTTCTTTCTTCAAGGCCTAGAAATCCCATCCATGGTTATTTTCTGGGATGCAGTTGTTTTTCCATATGGAATCATAGAATAGTTAGGGTTGGAAGCGACCTTCAAAGGTCATCTGGTCTAACCCTGAGCAAGTTATGTCCAGGTCCAAACTGACCTTGAATGTTTCCCCAGATGGCATGTCTACCACCTCTTTGGGCAACATGTGCCAGTGTTTTGCTACTTCAGATGGTTGAATTAACACTGGCTCACAGCACTTTCTCCACATCTAACCTTTGAATACAATATTTTTGCACAAATGCAGCTTACTGTGGTCACTTATCTTCTCAGAACTACGTGGTCTTTTGCTGCAGCTTTGAGGGACCCCCCCTCAGGAACCTCATTGCACTCACTGCAGCAGTACTGCCCCAGGGTGAGCATCCTTCTCGAGAGCACAGCAGGTCTGCAGCCTGCTCCTCACAGCGTGCACATATTTTCCTGAAGAAAGTAAATTGTCAACAGAGCTTGTTGTGCACAGCTTTGTTTTCTGATTTTATCACTCCTGATTTTATCGCCCCTGCTACTCCTGTTCCAGTGCTGCAAGAGCTGAGCTCCCCCAAGCAGAGAGGAGCCGAACATCCACACCTGCCCCAGAAGCTGTGGGTGTAGTATCACGGCTAATGATTTTTCGATTTATTTTTTTCTGCCTGATGTCCCTAGTCAGTGTACCTGACAGTTCCAGCAGTGTAAGCAATAATTTTCCTGCCTGTCACAAGCCCTGTGACCTGGCCGTGGCCTGGGGAAGGTTGCTCTGTGCCTCTGCCCTGCCAGGGCTGCCATTCCAGCACCCTTTTTGCTCTTATGGCTTCTGAGGCAGAAGAAGCCTCCCAAGGTTTTCGGTCAGTGCATGGCTGTCATGTCTCATCACACATCAAAGTGATACCTTCGACAAGTGCATTTTCCCATACCATTTGCTGATTTCTTCTTTATAATTTCACCTGCTGGGACCCAAACTGGCACCACATCGGTCACCAGGGCACAGAAAATTTCACTGGCTATTTTCTCTGTCTGAGTACAGTTGGTCTTTTTTACTTATTAGCATTTAAAATTATTATAGATTACTACTTATCTATGTGTCTTCTGAGTGTAGGAGTACGTGTTCAGGCCATTTATATTAAATGTTCATTCCCATCTGGGTTGCATGTTAACTTTGTGTATATGTTTGCATATTGAGGGTGATATCATTCATCCTTGTACAAACAAGGTGTGTATGTCTGTGTCTGTGCAAGTAGCTTAATGTATCTCTTCATATATGTGCAGCATACTCCTGTCTGTATTACACAAAGATGAGCAAATGTTGTGGTTTGTGCTTCTGCATGCAGCACTTCTCTGTCTGCATGTTAATACTTCTCAGCACCCTGATGATTTAATCATATGTTAGGTAAGGAAGGCAGCACTGCTTCACAGTGGAGAACATTTATTTTAGGTTTCCATTTTCAGAAATTATTTCAATATGATGCTCCACCATTATGAAAGAAAAAAAAAAAGAGTATTTCACCTGTCTAAGGTATTTACTCATATTGGGAGCAATATTATGCTCCCAACATACTAAAGAAAATCTCTGGATCCAGTGAGTGGGATCAACCTCCCCTGTTGTTGGCCCATATAAAGTCAGATGACTACAAGTTCATCATTGTGGCTCTTTCTGTAGTCAGTGAAAAAAACCACAGGTGTATAGACATCCCATCCTATGATAGATGCCTAAGGCAGTGAAAGGACCACTGTCCAGGGACAGGTGTTTGTAGTAGCCCTCTGAAACTTGCTGGGTTTTGCATTGCTTATATAGGAGGAGAGCTTTACTCACATCTTTGTTTGATGAGGTAAGTCCTGGGTATCCAGAAAAGCAAAAATAACTGAACTGAATGTAGCAGGTTTTCTCTTTATATGTTTCATGACCACAGTTTTTCTTTCATGCAGGTTTTTCAAGTCTAGACGTGGCCCACACTGGATTAAAGGCATTAAAGGGAGTGGACTAGAATATGTGAACTATAAACAGAACAGGCATTTAATACTGGAGATCCTGGAGGGAAGTTTTAACAGAGGAACTGTGGATGCAAAACTGACCCCAAAGCCAATGAAAGACAATCCCCTTGAATTTATAGGCTTGAGTATCATCCCACAGGTGAATGATGATTATCTTGCAAATGAAGAAATCATCTGATTTTTAGTATAGGGCAAGGCCAACACCTAATGTTTACATTGCACTGGAACTGCTGGTCAAATAAACAGGACATCAGCACCAACAAACAATTATTACCCAATTTTTGATGATTTCTTCCAGCGTATTCATGAAAGACAGAAATCCAAGGTGAAACCTCATGCCTTTTGTAGCTATTAAATCATAAAACAAACACAGATTTGGACTTAACAAAACTACAAGATGTTTATTATGCAGTGAAACTGGAACATCAAAAGTGTCTTGGAAGTCTAATGGAATCCTCAAATTTGAACAAAAGGGAAAGATATGAGCTTTCTCTTTTTTAGCTTTGATACTCTTGAGATAATCAGTAACTTGATGGATCTAGGGAAGCACACTTATTTGTAGAATAAAAAGGTTTTTTATGAGTATCAAGTTGCTGATATACATAAAAGTTTACACTCCTACTATGTTCTGAACCTCTCTGTTTAAGTGGGATTTTTAACATATGATCAATTTACAGCTTATCTTTGTGCAGGGTCCCAGAATGATACAATTTGAGGGGAAATAACTGCCAACACTTAATTTTAAAGGCTGAGAATGTTATTCTTTTTTTTTTTTTTTAGAATTTCACTGGACTTCAGGTGGAGCTGAGTCCAACTCCCTGTTTTAATAAGAATGTTTTGGATTTTCCTGATTTTACTATTCTAAATATGGAAATGCTTCAGAGTAATACTTTTTTTTCAGGGCAGTAATGCTCATTGGTTTTAGGTACCTCACAGCTGCAGCTTTTCATTATATTCTTTTTTCCTCCTCTCCTCCATCATCCCATGACCCATGACTCCTCGGTCCCTGCCTTCAGAGATCTATAGCACTATATTTCCTTGCCACCAAGCAGTGTGTTCTTTTTCTCTTAGATTTGGAACTGAGAGTGTAAGAGGAGGTGAAGAAACATAACCTAACAATTCTCTTTCTTCTGTTCTTCAGTCGCAGCAGTACCTCTGCTCTCTCTTCTATATCTTATCTTTAATGCTGTCATGCCTCACTAAGAGGGCTTGACTCATGGGTTGGGAACTACTGCTTTTAGTGATGACTTGTTACTTTTTTTTTTCTTCTGTTTATCATGTCTGAAGGAAGTTGACAGCTTTCAGTCACTGCCAGATTGTCAACACTGGACCCAGACATTCCCTGTGTACAGAACAAATGTGGTCATATCTTTCCAAGTGCAGTATCTAAAAGCCTACTGCTCTCTGCTTCTCTCCTCTCCACACGAAATATGCCTCATTTCTTTCCTGAAGGGATGACACTGGCACCAAGGAGGGGGGATTTGGCTTCTTTGCTCACTTACCCTGCTGCCCTTTGGTTGAGATGCTAGTCTGGGAGTCTGCAGTGATGCTGGTGTTGGGATGTGGCTTACAGCAGAACTGGAATGGCTGTTTCCCATCTGGTTCAGAGCAGCTGTCAGATGATAACGAATGCCAATATCCAACAGCAGGAGCCTGTTTTCGTTGTGTGTATGTGTTTGTGTTGTGCATGTGTAACTTCTGAACCACCCTGTGCTGGGAAGCAGCTCTTCTCTTTGTTAATGAATGCACTGAATGGCTCACATAAAGGTACATATTACCCTGTGCTGTGGTTTGCAAACCACAGTTTGCATTGCTCTGGCTCACTAGCTAAAAGACCAAGTTAATGTGTATGTCTTAAAGTAACTTAATGAACTATTAACTAGACTCTACATTTTATTTATATTTTGCAAAAGGAGAGAGCTGGCTTGACATCTTCACTTAAAATCAGAAATGACTGTGATAAGTCCTTAGTTTAACATATAACACGACCTAATAGCTACAACATCAGCTATGATGTGTATAGACAGTGTTTCTATAGGAAGCA